ATTGCCACTCTATCTCTTTCCTCATATAATCACCCAACACATATATTGTTCTTCCATAGCTAGGGAGAAGTACAACAGTTCCCTTTGTTGTATGTTTTGATTAATTTCCAGCATGAATTAGTTTTGTGATGAAGAGAGTATTATGGGACTTGATTGAAAGCTAGTATTTCCTTCTGTCATTTCTGAGTTTGTTATCTTACCTGTGCTACAAGAAGTTCCCCATTGTTCTACCATGTGGAGCTAAATAGTAACACCCAATTTCACAGCCCAAGGTTGCTCACTACTTAGTGTGGTTTTATCATCTCCTCCCTTCTCTCTGGCCCCTTTTCACCTATGCTTTTCAACCTCACTTCAGATTTAGGATCTTGAAGACACTTACCCACTCAGATATTCCCACTAGGTTAATGGGACTGCTTAGACGTTCAAAGTAACTCAAGTACTTGATCGTTTGGAGGACCAGGATGTGAAGCAGCAGTGACTTGAGTGTATAACAACCAAGCAGGCTCCAGAAAAGCTTTTCTGGCCACAGTGTGCTAAAATTCACAAAATGCAAGGCAGATGTGTACTGATTAGGAAATCATGTTGGCTACGCGATAAGAAAGCTCCAATAACTTCTGAACCTCCCCTTAACGTTTTCCAAGCAAAACTGCTCTGGTAACAAGGTCACCTAATGCTGAATAATAAATAAGCAGGGAGGCAGAATGCAGCTGGGCACTGTTCAGAAATGGTTTGAATAAAGCATGGTTTCAGCCCGCTGGAGCTGTTTGTGTAACAGCCTCCCTGTTGCCCAGAAACAGCACATGAGACTACTGAGTGTCTGCAGAAACTCAGATCTGGTTTGTTTGACTTGGACGTGCAGTAAACCTGACTTTTAAATGTTACTTCAGCTTTGAGTCAGTGATTACCCTTTTACAAGCCATGCCTGGAAATGGGATGTTAATTGTTGTTAATGAGTCTGTCCACCTGAGTAAGCTCTGCAGGGCAGAATTCACAGAACATAATTGCTCCATGTTGCCTGAAGCATCCCCGCTGCTGACCCTAATGTCTCTTGCATTTAAGAGCAATGGCACCAAATCTGCTTTTTGAGACCTCAGAGCTTTATTCTGAATCCAGAACAGTAGCCAGTTTCTGTGCTCCCTCAGTCCCAGTCCCATGTGATTTCTGGAGCGGAATACTGCCAAGGTTCAGCTCTTGCTGATGTCTTTGGCACAGGGAGAGGACATAGGTGAATACAGCGTTATGGGATACTGAATAGGGAAGAGAGAGTTTGTACTGAGCTGGAGTTCTTTATACCTATGTAGTTTAATCAATGGTCTAGCTATGGGTGAAGCTGCTTTATCTTGATGGCATTTTGTGTGCACTGACAATTTTTGTCCCATTTGCTTTGATTGCATTTTCATGGACATTCCTTCTGCTATCACTGCTTAGGACCAGTTGTTACTGCATTTCTTTTCAGTCCATCCCCCATGCTCACTGGTAGAGAGAGGTTTTGTAGTGTGGCTTCCTATGTGGCCCAAAAGTAAATACAAAACGTATATTCCTATTTGAGACAGATGACAGTTTCAGCAGTTTGAAAGACAGGGAGCATTGTATTTTGCTTTTGTGGGTGACCCCTGCCTAAACACATGTTCTGGTGTTATTCATATGGAAACAAAACAATGTTGGGACCTGCATCCTTCTGGTGTCATACCTGACTACACCCTTTATCTGCCTCTGGCTCACCAGGTTTCTTGTGCGAAGTACAAAGTCATACACATGGCACTATTCCCTAAATGACACTAGCTGGCTACCCAAAGTCAACACATCATGATATTATGCCATGAGAAGGGCTAACGAACAGAGACAAGACTGCTCTTGGAAAATTCCCTGCGAGCAGCTGCTCAGCTAAGAGGGATATCAGCTCTGGAGATCAAAGCTGGCATCACATGAGGAGTTGGGCTCTGATTCAGATAACCAGCTTTATGGGCATCAGCCTCTATAGAGGACCTCTGCCCATGCTGCCTGTCTCCTGGGAAACAATTCAGCTGGACAGCTTTAAATTCCCTGCCCAGATGTATTCTTTTATTGTTATTCTAGATCATATGTTTCAGCCTGGGCACAGTGTCCACATGTCTGTGTGTTTGCAAACTCATTTCCACCAGAAATCAGTTAGTCTGATATACAGTCAGGTCTGCCCATGCTCAGCTTCATGGAGCCTCATGCTCTCTTGTCCAACATCTTCATCTCACTGGTGGAACAGCTATTTCAGCTCAGTCATCCTCAAAAGCTGGACACTGAGGAGTCTTTCCACTGACCCTCTGTGCCACCTTCACTGTGCTGCTCCCACCTTTCAGGGTGGGATGTATTTGCTTTATCCATACCCTAATCTACCAAGGCTGAGCTTGTCCTTATCCCTGTCTGATGCCAGGACCTCTTTCCAGGCCAAGGATGGCTCTCAGCCAGTCATGGACTGGGGCTGGGACAGAGATGTGCTGCTCCTGTTGGCCACATTCAAAGAGTCCTAACATTTAAAAAAAGGAAACAGGGTGGAAGGAAAAACCCCAAACCCTCATGATTTCAATGAAAAAGGATCACATTGCATGCTATTAATGCTCTAGTTAAAATCACCTCTGTTTTACTGCTCTTTACGCAGGTAACTGCTGCTCAGAATTTGATACCTCATTGCCCAGAAATAATGACCTCAGACATACACAAGCTCATTATCAATTGGCCTCTTTTTAGTTGATTTGACATGATCTTGGCAAAAAATAACCCCATAGTTGAAAGGCACTGCTATCTTATGTCACTGTTGCTATTAAAAGGCACATTCTGTACAGGGTCCAGCCCATGTTTTAAAGGTTTTAAAATGTGTTTTCTCATTACGGTGCTACTGTTGGGTTCAAAGCAAATTCAGCTGAAGTGGGATTTAACCAGCTAATGACAGAGTGCCATTTCATGAAAAAAAAAAACCAAACAAGCCAACCCTGGAAGAGTTAAAAACCTAATTTCACTGTCATTAAAAAGTGCATTTTTCATAGAGAAAGGATGCATCCTTACTTGCAAATCGGAGATGTCGTAGTGGTCTTCTCCAACCTAGTTGATTCTATGATTACTCATATTATTAGTTGCACTGAAGTTATTATTTCTCCCCTAAATCACCCCCATTTAAAACTGCAACTCAAGTATCTGAATCAATTTTTTAGAAGTTCAAATGAAGATGATTTTTTTTATTATTAACTTCAGAAGAATAAATCCCTTGAATCTTGAATGGCAAAGACTGTTCTCTAGCACAAAAAAAAATAGGACTATTCTGATAACTGCTTATGGACAGATTTTATCCCAACAGGCATGATGGGTCTATGTCTCCTGTCAGGACCAGAATCTAGAATCAGCCCTAAAACTTACAGTATCTCTTCCTATGAATAGAAATCTTTGCTCTAGAGAAGGTTTGTAGATGAAGCTGTAAATCTTTTCAAATTTTATTTAATCATCTTGCAATTAAGGAATAGCTTCTCAAATGTGCTTTTCAATCACACACTTATGTTTGAATTATATGTTTTATCTGTATATTTATACTAATACTTCTATTTGCATTAATATTTACATTAATATTTATATTTATATTTATACATTAATATTCATATTAATATTTCTATTTCTGTTTCTCTTTCTACTTCTATTTATAATTGTATTTCGATTTACATTTATAATTTTATTCCTATTTACAATTATAATTGTATTTCCATTTGCATATATTTCTATTGACATTTACATTTACATTTACATTTATTTTTATTTAAATATGTAAACAATAAAAACAATGTTTAGAATAAGCTATGTAAAAAATGATCACAGAAAAATTCCTCATGTTGAACTGTCAAGTGCAGTTATTGACTCGTTCCTCAGCTGCATGCTAACTTTATTCCTTTGGAAGATAAAAATATTCCAGGATTCTCATAGAAGACGAGCCTGGTCACAGTTAATAGGAATTAGATGAAAATTATGAAGTTACAGCTAGACTCAATTTGATGCTGGATAGTTTGTGTGCACATGGCTTTTAATTAGGAGGAAAAAATTAAAATACCCCAGAGTCTCATGTTAATTGCCAGAAAGGTGTGTTTGCAAACTGCAAGCAGTTTATTCACACATGTAATGTGTAAATTAAATACATATTAATATACATATTAATTACATTTACATATTAAAATATATAAATGAAAATAATAAGTATACTATGTAAAATATAATTAATAATTAGTAATACAGAATTATTTAAAAATTGAAAATTATTTTTACATATTTGTTTTAACAGTTATTTTCAAACCTACTGTTGAAATACTATTATGATGCTTATAAAAAAGATATTATAATAATTTATGTATTATATATATAATATAATGTAACTGTATAATTGCAGTTATATTAGATATTATTGTTTAAAATACATTTTAACATTTATTGTTCGTATTATTAATGTCCTCTTCAATACTGGAGAAAACATTAAACTTTTTAATTCTTTAAGCTTAATATATTCTTTTATGTCTGATCATATTGTGTTAATTTTTTCTCATAAAATTCTACTATTCTAGGAAGGAATATTTCTTTATTTTGTGGCATAATATTACCTTGAATGAATAGATGCAGTGCTCTGCATGTGCTGGCATAGCCTGATTGTGCAATTGTGGACGTTTCCTGGAATTTGTCTATAAAAAAAAGACATTCTACACAGATCTAGGCTTTTTCAAAAGATTTTTTTTTATTTATTTGAAATTATTTCCATATTATTATTTCCAATTATTTTAAAATTATTTCCTTATTCCATTTATTCCACAAATATCCAGACACACTTTATTGTTTCTCCACACTCACACAAAGAAAGTTTAAAGCAAATCAGGAAAGGTTAATTTAAATTAATTTAAAACTCAATAGGATCAATCTATGTCTCTTTCTTTTAGACTTTCTATGTAACTTAAAAATAGTCAGAAGGTGGTTTAGAAATTGTGATAAATGGTGTTACCTACCTCTGGGCAAATGAAAACAATTATGCACAGAGCTTTTACTTCCACTTTTTCCCCCCTCTGTTATTTCCTTTTTAAATTTCACTGCAGAACTTCATCAATAAATTCAGCTGTATCACAAGTTTTCCCTTTTGAAAAAGAAAACCCATCCTTCATCCTTAATGCGTTATTTAAGATCCACTGTCTTCTGTCCCTAAGGGGATTCACAATACAGCATGCTGAGCTATTAACAAGTATTAGAGTCTTGGCTCCCCTTTGGTGAGCCCAAAGGCCAGCGATCACGTTTAAAAAAGTTCCTAAAAACTGAAACTTTCAGAGGAAACAAATATCAAAACTTTCGGTTAAATCATGACTTTGGGTCTGTTGAGGAATAGGAACACTGGATTTGTCCTTCCTCTTTGAGGTCAGTCGTAATCGTGGCACCGTTCGTGTTTTTGTATTATTCCCATTCCCAGAGTTCTGGTCCACTCTCCCCGGATTTTGCCTGATGTCATTTTAAGCTTGACCAGTATAAGGTGAAGATCAATGTAAATAAATTCAAGGGCAAAAGTATGGGGCAGTGACATGTCCGCAAAACAAAAAATAAGGCTCTACAACAGCTGTGTGGTATCAGTTTTGCTTGATGCTGCAAAGACCTGGGGCATTACGCAAGCTGACAAGAAAAGATTTGATGCATTTGATAGCAGGTGTTTAGGAGGGATCAGCAATGTCAAATGGCATCACTATGTTGGGAACATCGAGTTTCAGGAGAGAACAAGAAAGGAGAAGATTATGGACTCCCTAACAAGGAAGTGGCTTTGATGGGCTGACCATCTAGTGAGCATGGATGGTAGAAGGTCTTGTGAGCTGGATTTGCTTCTCTGGGCTTCCCAGCCCATGCTGAGGCTCATCAAAAGCTTGTGGAAGTCAGTAGAAATATCATCTAGGTTTTGATGGTTTAACTTGTCTGTAAGGATGGAAAAGCTTCAGGGCTTTTGCTTTACTACTCCCACGTGGAGGGTGTGTTCAGTACTCACTGACCCTCTGGGGAGAGATAAGGAGGGGAAAAAAAGGTGAATGTGAATGTGAAAATGCAAATGAAAGACATCTTTTTGCAAGATGCTGCTCTCCAGCAGGGATATTCATATGAATAAAGGATTTCAAAACCAGGCCTCTAGGGTTTTGCAATGCAAACTTAGGCCATGCAGACAAAATGGGGTTTAACAGACTCCAGAAAGCCAAAATCTACACCAGTGGGCTCCATCGACTTCAGTGAACCTTGCACAGATGTGAGGGTGGAAAAGTCCCCTGTTCACATTTTCTCACAGAAACAGCCTTTCTGCACATATTTGAAGAGCATCTCTTGGAAAAAAGTAGACCAAAGAAGGTAACTTAAAACAGATGGGAGCAAGAAATAATAAAGCCAGGCCATATGGATAGAGTGGACCTGCTCGAGGCAAGTGCAGCCAACTGTATTATGATGTAGTAATGTGTGAAAGAGGCTGCACTAATGTATGGACTATCTGTAAGTGGAATTTTTTCATGATTGAATCAAGAAAAGGAAATGTGCTTTGTCCAAATGGTAATAAGAACCATATTTCAAAAAGATCCATGTTGAGTTCTTACATCAAATAATGTCAAAAATAGCTCACCATCCAAACTGGGATCTCACCTTCTTCTTATTTAAAACTCTTATTGAGGTTTTAAAATGTTCTCCTTAAATCTGCAGCTGGTAGAGTCGAGCCTACTATTTCCTTTTTATCATTTCAAATCTCTTTAGGATGCAGAAAAAGTAGATAGCAACGATAATCAGCCCTTTAAGTCACACAGTCAAATCTGTTAGCAATAAACATGTATCACTGTTTCTGAGCTAGAATGTTTAGCTTTACTTTTCCATGAGCAGCTTAGGATAGCCTTCCAGATATAAACACAACTAAAATGTAATGCTTCTGGTGGTAAAAATGTTATTTCTCTGCAACATTGTACTCTGCAATTCAAAAGCAATATTGCCATCTGAACTTCAAAAGCCAGCACAGGAGCACTAATCAATGAGTCCATGAACAGAATGCATTATGAAATTAATTTTAAGACAATAATAACTACCCCAAGCTATTTTCAGTTAAAGTTTTGTTTCAGCATTGACTATAAGAAAGTGAAAATATTTATGCAGGCAGCTAACTGGCCTATCAGACATCCAGAATTCAGAAGATCCCATGACAGAGCAAACACTCACATGAGTGTGAGGGGAAGGACAGACTGCATTTAGCAGGACCACAGCATGCCAGGATGAGACCTGGGTTAGAGCAATGACATTTAGGAAATTACTGTAGAAAACTGATAAGGGCATGATCCTTTTTTATGCAGCAGATCATGCATAATGCCTGCTGTGCCTCAGGTCCTTTTCATAGCTATAGAATGAAAGCTCATGGCAAGATGCTGACAGATACCACAGAGCAAGTAATAATTCCCCCTGCCTCAGGCAACCACACTGCTGCAGCCAGCTTATAGCTTGCGGCCTCGTTTGGTAATGCTATGGCTGATCATCCATCCTGTGTGGCTCAGGAGATGACATAGCATTTGTGTAGGACAGAAAGTTAGATGAAGAGCTGACTTTTCAATGGTGAGATTAACTCTTATTGTATTACGGTTGAGCTCTGACAAAACCCAAATGCACTCCTGTTTAGATACTGTGCGATCCTATGCTACATATATCTGTACACAAAAATACAGAGAGAGATAAAAACATAAAGTGCTTTGGCTACAAAGGTGTTTTAGAGACATTTATAAAGTAATCTTTAACATCTATAAAGAATTCCTATTAAAATAAATCTTCCATGTGTGCCTAGTGAGGGATTATGACACAAAAAGAAAGGAGAGATGCTTTTTTCTTACATACTAAGACTGGATCCTGATCCATTAAGGTCATTTGGGGCCTTTTCTACCAAAGTCCCTGGAGACAGGACCCCAGCCAACGGCAGCTAGATAATGGCACGTGATTGATGCATGGACAGAATGTGGCATGTGGATAATTTTCCAGAGAAAGTCCATGGATTCCCTGCTGAAAGATGGGACAAGAAGGGCACCACCTTCCTTTTGCGTGTGAGCCCCAGAGGATTTGAGAGCTTCAAGATCTGACAGATAATTAGCTAAAGAGCTGACAAACTCATGAACATGTGTTTCTCTTTCAGTGACCTCATGCTCCGGTTTGTCCTTGGCACTGTGGCTAAGCTGAAGTTGCAGCAGGTTTAATCTCTAAGGTTCACCAGCACAGACCCATATGCCAGGGCAATATGTAGCATGGCAGAGAGGTATCACTTCACACCCCTTCAGCTTTTTCACTGGGAAGAGCACATAAATGGATCTATCAAGGTTTAGTACAATTTTTTCCTATTGTATTCAATGATGATTGCAGTTGTCTAATATTTAACCTAAATGCCCTGGAGAGAAAACTCATGATTATGGTTTATAGATGATTTCCTAAGTATCCTTTCCTTCCAAAAATTGGTCTATCTGGATCTTCTGCCTTTCGGTCAGGTTTAAACCTTCACTCTCAATTCTAGGAGCAGTAAGGCCACATCACTGTGCTAGTGGGAAGTAGCATCATGATCTGCATGTATTTCAGATGTTTCAGCAGGGGTGGAGTACGCCAGTAAGTTGTGATTGTTTGCAGGTTTGCAAATTTAGCATGCTGTTCATGTCATTTAATATTATCCTATTTGAAAGCTATTATAAGTGTAGTGCAATTGTCTTAGCTTCTATTTTTCCTGAACTCTCTTGTCCAAATGCTCTTTGGAAATCAAAGGCAAAAGGATCTCCAGCGTAAAGAAAAAGCCCAACTGTGCTTTTGCACAGAATGATAGCAGCCCTTTCTGGGTAATGTCTCTGATTACACAGCATTTCTCACAGATGCAGCAATACACCATTTTGTTTGGGGTTTTGTGGTATTCCAGATCATAGGATGAATGTAGTGTAGCAGACTAGGTGTAATGTTAAGTGCTAGGGTTTCAAGTGAAGGTTCAGTTATGTAGGTGAGACAGACTGAGCATCTTGGCCACAGCCAACTGTTTCCCAAACTATATAAATCGCTCTGTTTGGGAATGACTCTTTATGGAGGCTTTTGTTACCAGGCCGGAGAGTGCCAATAATGTCAAATCAGTGAATGGCCTTATTGACAGGAAAGGATTTTTGTGGCAAAGGGTTTCTCTGTGGCAAGAAGACCTTTAGAAGAATGTGGGTCTCCTGTGTGTCTCTGTGTTCATGATTTTGGCACAGGAGGAAAGAATAGGGGAGGAAAAGAATAGGCTTAGATTATACCTTCTGGCTAAATGCTTAGTGCTTTTTGGTCAGAATAATACTGTTTTATCAAAACAAAAAGTCATCTGACAATTTTGATTAACTTGTTAAAGATTAAAGGGATTTTTTTTAAATATCCTTTCTCTATTGTGATAGAAAAAGAAAATAAAACGTTTGGCAAAAACATGTCAGCTATATTCCAATGGGGATGGCTCAGGTGATGGGCAATAGTTGTTGGGTTTTTTTTTCCAAGCTGGAATTTCTGAACATATTCTTTCAATTTTGACTGGGAATGGAAACATGTGAAATGCCAGAATTTTCCGTAGGATAGAATTTCCAGGTTTGACTCAGTTTTAGGACAGAAATGAAGATGAAGTTGTGAATGCTCCATCCCTGGCACCATTCAAGGCCAGGTTGGACAGAGCCTTGGGTGACATGGTTTATCATGTGGTGTCCCTGCCCATGGCAGGGGGGTTGGAACTGGATGATCTTAAGGTCCTTTCCAACCCAAACCATTCTATCATTCTATGATTCTATGATTCAATGGAAAGTTATAGCAAAACAGAACGTGAGCACATGGAAAATATAAACCCAGGCACTTCAGACCTCAAGCAATTTCTTGGTTCAGAGGGAAACCATATAGGTGCTCATGTCTCTTTCAAGGGTGCACGTCCAAGAAGATGGCACTTTTCCCACTTACACTGATTGTCCCTGCTGTAAACTCAGAGAGAATATGGTGACTCTTTGCTTCCACAGCATTTTCAGAGAACATCTGTGAGTATAAATTCCACAGGATTTATAGAAGAGGAAAACAACCATAATTATCAGTCCACATGAACACAGTGTGCTCTGGTAAAGAAATAGCTGATGGCATTTCGGTGGTGAAGAAACAGAACTGGGTCTATAAATCATCCAAACAATACCTGGCTTACCATCAAAGGCAGGTGAGGAGGGGACAGGAAGGGTGAGGTTGGCAACATTAGGCACCAGTTTAACTTTTGAAGGTCTGAACGGGGGAGTATCCTTTGCTCCAAAGACAAATCTGGCCGATGATAAAAGCTCATACGAATTTCAACAAGTGGCCGTGCACAGCTCCCCTGCACCAACATGAGTTTTGTTTTAGGTGACTGACATTAAAAAACATGGGGTTATGTTGCCAGTCCCATGGTGTTGTGGCAATGGTCAGTTGCCTGGCTTGTTCATTGGTCCAACAACACACCACTGCTTGCTAGCAAAGAAAGCAATGTGGATGAAGACCCTCAACAAGCAAGTTCACAGAATCATAG